CAAAAAAGCATCCGTTTTATTGCATGCAGGGGGAGCGGATCCTGCCGCCAGTCTTGCGTGGGGTGCGTGATTTTGCACGGGGAAAACAAGCCTGCACCCAGGAATTCAACCTTGCCGGTCGGACAAGTAGCAGCCGGGGCGATGAGCTACGCGGGGCCGGGCCGGGCCGCTGAAGCCGCTCCCCGTCGGGCTGGCCGGGCGCAGGTGCACGCGCGGGCCCCGGGAGGCCGGGTGCGAGCGCAGGTGTCTTGGCACAGCCGCGGTGGACCCGGTAAGGACGGCCGTGGGGCGGTGGAGGCAGGGAGGGAGGAAGGGGGGAGCAGGGAGCCTCCTGCTCCAGGGGCAGATTAACCATTAAGCAGACTAAGCACCTGTTTAAAAAGGTAAAGGTTCCCTTTCTCGAAAGCCAGTCGAATCCGACTTGCGGTGCTCATCTCCGTTTCAAAGCCGAAGAGCCAGCGCTGTCCGAAGACGTTTCCATGGTCATGTGGCCGGCATGACTAAACACCGGGGCGCACGGAACACTGTTCCCTTCCCACCGGAGTGGTACCTATTGATCTACTTGCCATTTCTTGCTTTCGAACTGCTAGGTTGGCAGGAGGAGCTGGAACTAGAGACGGGAGCTCACTCCATCATGCGGCGCACTCGGGTCTGGAACTGCTGAACTACTGGCCTTCCGGTCTGCAGTTCAGCGTCTTAACCACTTGAGGCACCGCAGCTCCTTTAGCATTCTGTTAAAAAGGTAAAGGTTCCCTTGCTCGAAAGCCAGTCGAGTCCGACTCTAAGGTTGGAACGGTGCTCATCTCCATTTCCAAGCCGAAGAGCCAGCGCTGTCCGAAGACGTTTCGTGCGCCTTGGTGTTTAGTCATGCCGGCCACATGACCACGGAAACGTCTTCGGACAGCGCTGGCTCTTCGGCTTTGAAACGGAGATGAGCACCGTTTCAACCCTAGAGTCGGACTCAACTGGCTTTCGAGCAAGGGAACCTTTACCTTTACTATTGCGCTTATGTTATACCAGTCATATAATCTCTTCCAAGTTTTTTGAAAAGTCCATTCTGTTCCAGCTCTCATCTCCAATGTCAAGCCTCTTTCCCCTTGCTAGATTTCACAGACTCATCTGGGGCAGCTTTGCCAGCGGAGGATCCGATCCCTCAGGAGTGATTGTAGGCAGAGGGGATAACGGCGTGATCACCCTGTATGGCGCTTCTCAGCGTCTGGCTTCAGCAACCGAGCTGGCGATTAGCCACGTGGAGAAGCACACTGGTCCCGTCCGCGCACTCGACTTCAACCCTTTCCAGGTACCCAGTGACCAAACCGCAGTGTGCTGCGGCAACTTGATGAGAGAGGGAGCTCTTCTAAGTGGTCTCTCTGGAAAATTAAGCCCTAGTTTACAGGCTGGATATCCAGCTTGGCTTCGCTTCCATACCTAGCTCAGTCCGTTTCATTCTGGTGAACTAACTACATTTCAGCCACTGGTGGTTGGAAGAAACTCTGGGGAAAGGGACGTCAGTGGTCACCGGCTTCTCAGAAATCTTGCTCCAATTGGGTTTTTTGTTTCTCTCCGGATGTTGCTTGTTCTTTCCAAGGGACCTCTGCTTTTGCAAACCTGCTGCCCCCAGTATCCCTTAACACCCCCCCTCCTTTTCTGATTAACTGATTTAACAAAACAATGAAAGTCCATGACTTTTCTTATTGGTTTAATCTTCAGGATTTAAGAACATAAGAGATGCCAATGCTGGATCAGGCCAAAGGCCTATCCAGCCCAACACTCTGTATCACACAGTGGCCAGAAATACCAGTGCCATCAAGAGGTCCACCAGTGGGGCCAGGACATTAGAAGCCCTCCCACTGTTGACCCCCCCAAGCACCAAGATGACAGAGCATCACTGGCCCCCAAGTCCCTATCTATACCTTGTGGCTAAGAGCCACTGATGGACCTCTGCTCCATATGCTTATCTAATTCCCTTTTGAAGCCGTCCATGCTTGTAGCATGGTATGTTTGCATTGGTATGGTGTGGTATGGTCCAGGGGTCATTGGGGGGGGACGCGGGGGGACGCCATCCCCCCGGGTGAGGTGCGGGAAGTCGGGGCCTGGAGCTCCCTGCTGGTGCCCGCTGGAGGTCGCCCCCGGCTGTGGGGAGGACACACTTCCGGTGATGTCAGGGGGTGTGGCATATGCTAATGAGTTATGCTAATGAGTCCCCCTAGCTCTTTTTCTACGAAATGACCCCTGGTATGGTGTGGTATTTGCATTGGTATGGAGGGAGGGTTAGTGCACATTTTTAGGCTCTCCAGATGCAGCCTTCTTGCATGTTGTTCCCCAAGACTAAGACAAGACTCTATCCTTGGGTGACTCATCTCTGAACACCCTGTGAAGAAATATCCTCAACCCCAGTCTTTCAGCCATTGGGACTGCAGTCTGTGAGTTGGAACCGAGCTGCAAACTTGGAGGAGGATGGAGGAGGAACTCAGGTCATCAAGATGAAGCACAGAGTACTTGAATGCTAACCTATAATTGGCCATCTCACGCATAGCTAGAGTGTCACACCTCAAGGGGCACAGAGAGAGCGATAGAGAGCAGTCAAATGGCGAGATAGTTTTCTCTTCCTCTTTGAGGCAGGAAGGTCAAAATGATCCCAAGGGGGGGACACACTCTCCCAAAGGGAGATTATAAATTCCCAGGATACGAGAAAGAAGTTATCGTCCTTCTTGGCCTCTTCTTTGGCTGGACACTGGCCAAGAAGTCTTTACCTAGGGACTTTACCTAGGGACAAAGTCTTTACCTAGGGACTTCATCTTACCCACATGGCAAGAGACAATGGGGAGAAAACTCAACCATGAGAACTAAGGTAATTATGAACCTCAGACTAATGCAGCTTTCGATTAATACTAGCCTGTCCTATTTAAGCAAACATCATTTAGGATAAGTACCGAATGCAGGGACAAAATCCATAACATACACCTCCCAAGAAGTATAGTGGTGGAGGAAATCGTCAACTGTACACGGGTACAGCCTTTGGCCATCAGGGGGAGACAGAGAACAAAAAAAATCCCAAACTCCTGCTGTGCATTACACACTTTTCTCAGCATAGGTGTATGTGGGGGGTGGGCTCTGAGGCCACTGCCCTCTGGACTGAAGGATACCAATTGCTCCACTCTGGGGCCTGTCCTATTACAGTCTTTATACCCAAACTGCCCACAGTCAAAGAGAAAGGGGGACGCAAGCTTTAAATTAAGGATCGGTAGCGTCTAAGCTGTGCGCTCCCTAAAGGTCTCTTGTTTACAAACCTGCTAGACTACAGCTGTACTTATAAGTCGGTTAAATAGAGAGCGTGATTTCTTGACAGACAAGACAGTGAAGCCCGTAGCTACATTGAAGCATTTTGCCCCCCCCCCCGACTTCCTACCAAGGCCCCACCACAACCCCACCTCTCAGCAGCCCCACAGGCTCCATCCTGGGCTGGCGGCCGAATCGGGCAGAATCAATTTCGGCCGGCAGAAAGACTTCGGCGTGTCAATTTCGGTAGTACTAGCCGATTGGGGAGTCTGCCAGCCGAATGTCAATTTCAGCCCCGTTATATCCTATGGGCCATTGAAGTCAATGGCGAAAACATAGGGTATATTCTAGGGGGCTGGAGGGGAGGTGGTTTGAGGGAGAGGCTCCAAACATGCAGGGTAGCTGCTGGAGCCTCTCCCCAAGATACCCACCAAGTTTCAAGAACATTGGACCAGGGGTCCAATTCCACAGGCCCCCAAACAGGTTGCCCCCATCCCCTCCATTGTTCTCTATGGTGGGGGGAAACGTTACTTTTCCCCCACCATAGAGAACAATGGAGGGGAAGGGGGCGGGGGGAAATGAGAGGAGGAGAGGATCCTCCTCAGGTTACTCGGAGTCAGTGACTGATTTCCACTTACACCCACCCTCCACAATAGGGGAAATGGCCCTGCTCATGCCTGCGAGTGTGAGTTTATTTTATTTCTATTTTATCAGTGCCCCCTGACTTATTTAAAGGCCCCCTGAATTAAGAAATCCTGGCTACGGGCCTGCACATAGAGCATTTGGTCATTGACCGTTATGGGTCCTAAATACTTCCCCTTAACTCCCTCAGTCACTGTCCATACAGATGAAACAGTGGGGCACTTTTCCTCGGAGGCTATTGTTAACTGTGAGGAATTTCACATTACCCTTTTTAACCCGTTTTGAAGCCGTTTTTGATCCGTCGTGGAGTAAACCGGTATAGGGCTGCCATTTCACACATGGCTTTCCCCTTCCGGTAAAGAGTTGGATCTGAAGCAGTTTGCCATTTCAGACTGCACCACTTTTCCCCCGTCGTTTTTCACCCGTGCAGGCGATCTCCAGCTTTTTTTTTTTTTGAACATTCGCTTCAGAGCGCTATAGCGCTATAGTGCTATAACAAAACACTCCCGGCATTCCAATGGGGTTGATATAATGCTATTGCGTTGTACTATTGTACCGTTATACCGTTATGGCGCTATAACAATATAAAGTAAATGTGTGTTTTTTTAAAAAAGCCGGAGATCGCCCATGCGGGTGAAAAACGGTGGGAAAAAGCGCATCGGAACCAGGAGAGGAAACTGAAGACTACTTCGAAGCGGTTGACAGGTAAAACGCTTCAGCCCCGTTTCCTAAATTGTGTGATGTCAAAGAAGTCTTTTAGAAGAAGAAGAAGAGAAGAGATTGGATTTATACCCCGCCCTTCACAACCCAAAGGTGTCTCAGAGCGGCTTACAAACTCCTTTCCCTTCCCCTTCCCACAACAGACACCAGCTGTGAGGTAGGCGGGGCTGAGAGAGCTCTTGACAGAAACTGTTCTTTTTCAAGGACAGCTCTTGTCAGAACTATGGCTTGCCCAAGGTCGTCCAGCCAGGTGCAAGTAGAGGAGTGGGGAATCAAACCCGGTTCTCCCAGATTAGAGTCCGCGCACTTAACCACTGCACCAAACTGGCTCTTTAGAACCTGAGAGGTAGATTTTGGGAAGGTTCAGGCTGAACGGAGCCCAAAAAGCATTCTGCAGAGCTGAAAGTCTAGTGGACACGCAGAACGAAATACCCAGTTCTTCCCATGTCTCATACATTCGGCTAGCACTGTAATCTGCACATTTTCTTCGCCGAGGGATCGGCCTCAGCGAACGTTAAGGAGCCTGCCGCAGCATCCCTGTAACTCCCGCCCTCCAAAATGCTTTTCGAAAGCTCTCTTGCTCCTGGTAAATCTCCATGGCTAGAAATGACTCTAGGTGGTTATATCTGTTCATTAGTTAAGGCCACATCTCCAGGGAATCTGCTAAGAAAATGCCCCTGGCTATTGGATGGTTTGGCTGTCCTGCACCCCCAACCCACCCACACAAAACACCCCCATCCACCCACCCTCCCACCCCCCACTGCTTTCCTATGAAGAACATAAGAACATAAGAGATGCCAATGTTGGATCAGGCCAGTGGCCCATCCAGTCCAACACTCTGTGTCACACAGTGGCCAGAAACGCCAGGTGCCATCAGGAGGTCCACCAGTGGGGCCAGGACATTAGAAGCCCTCCCACTGTTGCCCCCCCCCAGCACCAAGATGACAGAGCATCACTTGCCCCAGAGTCCCTATCTATACCTTGTGGCTAAGAGCCAATGATGGACCTCTGCTCCATATGCTTATCTAATTCCCTCTTGAAGACGTCCATGCTTGTAGCTGCCACCACTTCCTGTGGCAGTGAATTCCAAGTGTTGATCACTCTTTGGGTGAAGGAGGACTTCCTTTTATCCGTTCTAAACCATCCTTTCTAGTAGAGCAAATCCAGAGTCCAGTCAGGCACCTTGAAGACCAACAAAGGTTCATTCAAGGGATGAGCTTTTGTGTGCACGTGCACTTTTTCCAAAGACCACCTCCCGTTCCACTCGTATAAGCCTTTGTTGGTCTTCGAGGTGCCTGACCGGACTCTGAATTTGTTTCACTGCCTTGGACCCACACGGCTGGCCAACTGGATTGTCCTGTCCGGTGTCCATCCGCTCCGCCTCCCCCTGTCATTGGGGGGACGGCGGCAGAAGGCTGTCAGGAGGCTTCAACGCCGTCGCCTTTTCCGTCTGGCTGCACTTCTGAAGCGGAGCACGTGGTCCCTCTTCCCACTCTGTTCTCTCCCCGGGGTCAGGGGGCAGCCACTTCCCTTCGTCTGCGGGCTAATCTCTCGCCGTCTCGGGCCTGCGGCCGTGTTCACCTGCCTGCTCCCATCGCCTTGCGGCGGCCCTGATGGCCGATCACATGCCCGGCCGGCCCAGACTGTGAGACACCCGTCCAAGAAGCCGAGCTGTCTGGTAGAGGACCTCTGAGGAGAATCCCCGTCCTGGGGGGTGCCCCTAGCCGGCCGGCCTGCTTCAGCTTTGCAGCCGGACTCGCAGAGCTGTGCAAAACGGTCGTGTGTGCCTCCCATGCCTTTCTCCCATGCCTTTCTGCTGCTTCCCGCCCCCCCCCAGTGCAGTTCTGAAACCAGCAAATGGAGAAGCAGAATCTGGACACGGAATGGTACCAGATTGCTGGTTCGTCCCTGGCAACAGATAGTTGTTCAAAAGGAAATTAATTGCACTGAAGGGACTGGTATCCCATGTCCCAAAACTGTTATTCTAGGACAGTGATGGCGAATCTTTTAGAGCCCGAGTCCCCAAACTGTGAACCAAAACCCACTTATTTATCGCAAAGTGCCAACACGGCCATTTAACCTGAATACTGAGGTTTTACTTTAGAAAAAACAACTCATACATTAACTTAAGATGATGGCTACAAGACTGTTTAGGAGGACATAGAGCAGTGATGGCGAGCCTTTTAGAGACCGAGTGCCCAAACTGCAACCCAAAACCCACTTATTTATCGCAGAGTGCCAACACGGCAATTTAACCTGAATACTCTTACATTGACTTAAGATGATCCAAACAAAGTAAGGAAAGCAATCCCAAATGCATTCGTTTACTTAAAATTATTTGGCAGAGAATTTGACACTTTAATGATGGTTTGGGCCTAGCTGGGGCGATGGCACGCGTGCCCACAGAGAGCCATCCCACCCGTGCCATAGGTTCGCCACCACTGCTCTAGGATATTTGCTCTTGCCATTGTTCCTCCTGCCCAGGACAATTCCGGCCAGATCATTCAAATGGCCCTGGCAGAGCAGAGTGGAGCATGGGGCTTAGTTTTGACAGAACGGTCAACCGAATTTCTGCTCCAAGCTGGTGCTACAGTTGAATCCCCACAGCCTTTCCTGGTAGGAAGGGTGAATTCCACTTAAGAAAGACTAAATGCCTGATGCTGTCATCCTGCCCAGTTAGTTGGGAGAAAGTCATGAAATCATTCCAGAAAATACATCTTCCAGTTTGGTGTAGTGGTTAGGAGGGCAGACTCTAATCTGGGAGAACTGGGTTTGATTCCCCACTCCTCCACATGCAGCTGCTGGAGTGACCTTGGGTCAGTTAGAAGTTTTTTCAGGGCTGTTTTCTCATGAGCAGTTCTCGAAAGAGTTCTCTCAGCCCCACCTACCCCACAGGGTGTCTTTTGTGGAGGAGGGGAAGGGAAAGGAGATTGTAAGCCGCTCTGAGACTCCTTCGGGGAGTGAAGGGCGGGGCTTAAATCCAGTCTTCTCTTCTTGATTTTGACCTTCAGTTTCTGCCCAAGTGTCCGGTTGAAATATGTATAAGAATCAAAATCCAAGGGAGTAGCCACTGCAAATCAGCCTACCCCGACAGCTTCTTCCCGTGGATCTTTGGCATCATAGCGAGGTTGCTGTGTCCTGGGGGGCGTGGACCAATGCCAGCATCTTTCATTTGAACACATTAAACAGTTGGGGAAATGTGTTCCACGGTCTCTTCAGCTGTGGACTAAGCTGTCAGGGGAAGCTGCCAAGTCCCTTTCCTCAGGGGTCGTTTCGTAGAAAAAGAGGTGCAGGAGCTCATTAGCACAACTCATTAGCATAACTTATTTGTGTTATGTATTGAGATGTATATAACTGCTTTGTGAACTGTGCCATTGAGACTTGATTGTAAATACTGCTGTGTGAATCGCCTGATTGAGATGCCATGTTGAGCTTCATCCTGGGCTAGGATCCTAGTGTAACCAATAGGAGCCCTAGCCCAGAAAGTGTCTGCCAATCACCGTGCAGAGCGGGATCGCTTGTGATTGGTTGTTATTGCTTCAACCTCATAGGTTGCCTTATTGTACAGGGGGTGTGGCTACATTAGCCGGGAGTGTTTAAATATAGAGCAGCCAGTGTATGTGTTGGTTCGAATGAGGGTTCTGGCTGGCGATCGTTGTACCATGTTCGGAGAAGTAACAGAGCTGAAGAATAAACCGCATTCTTGCTGAATCACTCTCCGACTTCTTTGTTAAGCGCACGACTTAACAATTGGTGTAGCCTGAGCGGTGGGTGTTCCCTTCTGACACACATCCGGTGATGTCAGGGGGTGTGGCGTATGCAAATAAGTTATGCTAATGAGTTATGCTAATGAGCTGCTGCACCTCTTTTTCTACGAAATGACCCGTGTGTGGGTACACACACACACCAATTTGCTTGGCTTGCATGATATTCTCTAAGCACATCATTTGGGATTCTGAAGCTCTCACCTTAGCAGAATAGATGTGCGTTCAGTTTCTGCAATCTGTTGTTGCTTTTCAGGGGCGTCCCGTCTCTGTCCTGGTGCCAGGCAGACCCGGGCCTGCTGCTGAGCAGCGCCAAAGACAGCCGGATCCTGTGCTGGGATCTTTGCACCAGCGAAGTGAGTCCAGAGCCCTAGCACCTGTCCCCTAAGCCACGCGGAAGCTCTCTCGTGCTCTCCCGAATGTCCTAAGTTCTATCTCAGTCCAGTCTCACACTTTGGCCTCTAGATGGAGGCTAACTGGCCTCTCGGGTACGAGCGGTTTTTAGAGGAAGCATGAGCTTTTCCTTCCCTGGGTTACAGGGCTTTTTTGCTTCCTTTAAAACAAACAACAGCTTTTTTATTCTGACTGTTCAGATTATGATAAGCACGCACACACAAACCTTTGCTGGCCTTGGAAGCACAAAACATTATGGGATTACAGCAAAATACTAAGATACATCAGTCACTTACACTTGGCTATTCAAACCTCATCTTCTGATTGCACAGTGTAAAAATTTTGCAACAGCCTCCGTTATTTCACAATTAGAATTAGACAGGAGAAAGTGAATGATTGTGTCATCAGAATGCCGACTCTTACTGTCTAAAAGTGGAGTAATAAAACTAGATTGGATATCCCTATAAATGGGACAATGAAGTATGGTGTGTGTAGTGATTTCTGTATCTTTTAGAGAACAAGAGCAAGGTCTGTCTACATGTGGTATCTGGCGGCACCTGCCTAAAAGCACCTCCAATGGCAGAACAGTAAAGCGTGCAAGCATGCACGCTCTTTATCAGTTTAACAACTTTTTTGACTTTGTGGGACAGCAAGCAGGCCTGGCGTGATCTGGTCCATGGGGTCGCGAAGAGTCGGACTCGACTGTGCGACTGAACAACAAAAAGCAGAGCTGGCTCACCAGGTGTCCTGGCAATCAGGGGCGGATTCAGGCTCACGGGTGCCCTCAGCACTTACCAATCTTGGTGCCCCCCGTCCTTTTCACACTGACCCCCCAGTCCATTTTAGTTGTTGACCTGTCTGACCAGATCTACAATGCAGGTTGCAGCAATACAAACATTTATTCATAGGATAACACCATAGACTGTCCGAGCTATGCTTTTCACCCTTTACCCAACCTTGTGGTGCCCCCTTTGGCCCTGGTGCCCGAAGCACGTGCCCAGTCTGCTTCATGGTTAATCCGCCCCTGCTGACAGTCCTTGAGTTTTCTTGGGTACCAAGTTTCTGGGGCACCTTCCACCCCCACCACCAGGCCAAATGTGGCAGCAGATCCTTGAAATTTGTTTCGGAAGCTTAAATGCCGTCTCTTCGGGAGGTTTACAACGAATACAGCTACTAAAACGTTAGCGTTAAAAGCCGTTAAAGGGAGCCAGGGTAAAAGGAAGCACACGGTCGCTGACACTCTCCCTCCCTGATCACTTTTCACCGGACTAAAGTCTCTCTTTAACCGAGCTTGGCCTGAGAGAGACGTTGTGGAGAAACAAGGGGGGTGTATGGAGGTGCTTCCCCCCCCCCAGCTCTTTCTGTGCGATTGTCCGGTGCTTTAACGGCCAGCCCCGCATCTGGTTTGGCTGCACCGATTCTGTCCAGATGTCTTGTTGCTTGGCCACGTGCAAAGTGCTGGGAATCAGGGGAGCTGCAGAGCAGTGCCAGCAAGTATGCGTGGCCCCTGAGGGCTGAGTGTGGAACAAGCAGGGGGCTGCCAGTGGTTGCGAGAACTAGAGACTCAGGGGCTGGTCCATAGCAGCTTCCGGCCAGCCAGCCCGCCTGCCCCCGGCCTTCCCAGGGCACTGGTGGGATCCTGGCAGGAATCAGGGCGAAGCTTGACCTCCCAGGGGCATCCCAGGCCAACAGAGCCAAGGGTGATGCCTCCGGTAACTCTCCCTAGAGGAGTCTTCCTCTGGCCCGTAGCTACAGTGGTGCTACTGTAGGCTCCGCCCCCTTCCTTAAAGGGCTAGCCCCACAAGATTTTTTTGAGAAGATTTTTTTAGAATTGGGGGAGGCACACGTCCCCGGCTTCTTCTCAAACACACTTAAAGGGATCCTTTAAATGCTTTTGAGAAGAAGTGGGGGATGGCACGCACCCCTCTCCCTCCCTCCCTCCAGCTGATCAACAGGCCACGGGCTCCCCGTCGATCAGCTGAAGGGAGTTTTAAATCTTGCAGGAGGGGAGGGAGAGGGCTGGTCACCGGCGGTCGGGCTTGGGGGCAGATTGGAGCTGACATAAAAATAATGGCAGCCCCACCAGAACATTTTTTGCCCCCACAAGCCACAAAATCCTGGCTATGGGCCTGTCTACATTCAGAGAAAATTCAAGTCATCCTGCACACCCAAGGAGCCTTTGTGTTCCATGGCAAGTCTCCTTTGAAAGGGAAAGAATTGAAGGACTGTTTGTGATATGGCCTTGGGACCTGCTGTTTTTCTCAAAGGGGGAAAAACAACCTCCTCCTCCTCCTTCTCCTTCTTCTTCTTCTTCTGGCCTGATCTTCCTCCTGGGTTGTCGTCAGTGTTCCCTCTAAGCTGAGTCAGTGTGAGCCAGCTCACAGGTTTTTTAGCCTCCAGCTCACACATTTTTTTGTCTTGGCTCAGGAAGGAGGGCTCCAGAGCAAACTAATTTCTGCAGTGGCCAAATGGCTGGCTCACAACTTTAATGCCAGCAGCTCAGAAAGTAGAATTTCTGCTCACCAGACTCCACAACGTAGAGGGAGCGTTGTCGTGTCAAGGCTTCCTTCTGGGTTCCCCGACTCACCTCTGCTCCCTGTACATTTTTGAGGGTGGAGCGGACTTATTTCCTGGTGCACCCTAAAAAGAGGAGGTGGACGGTGTCACCCCGCCTGCCTAAGCAGAGCAGAAGGTACAAGCGGCCTGCCCAGTGCAGGTTGCGTCACTGCTGGGTTCCCTGGGGTTTTGTTTGTTTCTATCGCTTTCTGTTTTTCTAGTTGGTCTGATTCGGTCTTCTTACTTCTGTTTTATGTCGCGCTGCCGCAATGCAGGGTTTTAATCGAATTGCATTCTTGCAAACCGCCTCAGAGGCGAGCAAGAACCCCTGTCGTGTTTTTGCACCACTAATCTCTGCCAGGGAAAAAAAGTTGTAAGAGCGTAAAAGGGCAAATGTAATATTTGCAAGATGCGGTGGCAGAATTTTCTGTTGCGAGCAGCGCACGACTCGCCTTGACCTGTCCTTTGCTTCTGTCCCTGGCACCGGTGGTCTATGAGTTGCACACGCCCGCCCAGTGGTGCTTCGATGTCCAGTGGTGTCCTCGGAACCCCTCGGTCTTCTCCACGGCTTCTTTTAACAGGCGGCTCGGCCTTTATTCGGTGATGGGCGGCAGCCTGGAGGCGCAGCAGAAAAGCCAGGCGGACAAGGTGAGGACGTGCACAGCTTTCGTTGAGCAGGGCGGGCTTGAAGTCGAGGGCTCTGTTGTTTTGCCAACTTTTCCCGTTTGCAGTTCTGGGGTCAAAAATCCAAATCTTGCAGCTGTAATAAAACAGGCTCATGGAGTACATTTCTGTGATTTATTTATGGAAGTGACTGAAATTTCTTTCGGACAGGGATGGAAAGAGTTCTGTGTGGCCCAAAAAGTTGCTATTCTGTCCGCGTGCTTCACTGAGTTACACAATCTTGTTATTTCAGGGGTCGTTTCGTAGAAAAAGAGCTAGGGGAACTCATTAGCATAACTCATTAGCATATGCCACACCCCCTGACATCAGGGGCCCAGTGGTGGACCTGCAAGGCCAGCGGGAGTGCGAGGAAGCCCCGCCAAGGCCCTCCCTGGCCCCAGGCAGGCAGGGGTGGGGAGAGGCGGGGAGGAAGCAACTTACCCTCCCTCTTCTCCTGCCTCCTCCTGGCTGAATGAGGGCCAGAAGCGGGGCGGCTGGAAGCAGTGGGCGGGGCTTCGTCATGTGCCCCGCCCCCCGCACCTCACCCGGGGGAACTGCGTTCCCCCGCGATCCCCCCCGAAATGACCTCTGTGTTATTTTATTATTTAATACTTACTTCACTTATACCCAGCTTTTCTTCCCCGTGGGAACCCAAAGAGGCTTATATCATTCTCCTATCATTCACTTACACCAGTTTGCTGTTGTGGTTAGGAGCACGGACTCTAATCTGGGAGAACCGGATTTGGTTCCCTACTCTTCCACATGCAGCTGCTGGTGGGACCTTGGGTCAGTCACAAGTTCTTTCAGAGCTGTTCTCCCAGGAGCATTTCTCGAAAGAGCTCTCTCAGCCCCACCTACCTTTTCTCAGTTCAAAGTTTAAAATGCAGTGCTTTAGGAGATTGTAAGCCGCTCTGAGACTCTTGAGTGAAGGGCGGGGTATAAATCCAAACTCCTCCCCCTCCTCCTTGTCCCATTTTATTTTCACAACAGTCCTGTGAGGTAGGTTAGGCTGAGAATGTGTGACTAACCCAAGGTCACCCGGGAAGAGTGGGGGCTCTCTTCCGTCCAGCAGGAACATTCCAGTGATCTTGGAGCCGTCTCTGCTTTTTTGCTGTCTGGTTTGCCTAATGGGCTGGAGACAAGAGCATGATCACAAAGCTCTTTAATGAAAAGAATCACTGAAAAACAGGTACCTGCACTGACCACCTCGGAGCACAGTCCAGCGACGCCTGTGGCGGACTCCTTGAGCTCTGCTTTTTTGGGCCAGCAGGACTTGGAGGTGATTCAAGAGCTGATTGTGATTCAACACGGAACGTCATCCTGTTCCAAGGACAGACCGTTCCTCTTGTGGGCCCTTGAGGATTTCTGAATGGTGGCCTTTGTCATGTTCAGCCGTGCCCAGGAATGAAAGCGGGGAGGGGTCTAAAGGGCATGTGGTCCAGCCTTTGTCGGATTTCCAAGTCAAGTTTCATAGCTCGTAGTTGGAACGAGAAGCCAACTGTCTGTTTCTGCTAACGATGCCACCGCCCAAGAACATACACACAAAATGACACTTGGAGTTGCTGTAGAGTTAGAAAAAGGGAGTGGATCTCTGATTTTAGATTTATATCTCTTGGTTCTCCTGTCAGTTCAAGGCAGCTCTCCGTGTGTGTTTAACCCTCAGAGTCTTTGTGTTTTCTTTTTTTTGCCCCCCGTAGGGGATTTTTTATTTGCATTTTCTTAAAACTACAACGAAATTAGGGAGGGGATCTACAAACTATAGGAGAAAGGAAAGAAAACCCACTAAAAACCCAAGAGTTGGAGGTCTTATACTACTTATGAAAGTATTAGCTTAACAATATAAAGATTGCTTTTCTTAACATTGAGAGTGGTCAATCATCATCATCAATTGCGTTAACAAACCATCAGATCTGACTATATAAAGAGCATTCCAGGAGAATCGCTAATTGACTCAAACACAAATTTCAGAGAACAGTGGCATCTCATTTTACAATTATTTTTTCCTTCCTTCATTGAAAGCAAATTAATAATTAAATTTCCCTCAGTAGTTGTAACGCAGTCAGTTTCTCTTCCCACGCTGTAATCTACTTTCTTGAACACTTTCCCTGTGGCCTTGTCTTGCTGGAACTGGAACTGGTCATCTCAAAACAAGTTCCTTTTTCTTTTTCAAGGACTGTTATCCGCTTGAATTCTTGCCTTCAATCTTTGTTGCTTTTGAAAGCCAAACTTACAGAGAGTCTATCCGCCCTTTTGTCCATCAGACTTATTTCGGATATGTCCATGGCATATCCCTTCGCTTTCAGCTTCACTTAAACATCTGCGTCCAGGCCCCACCACTTAAACCTACTCATTAGACTCTCCTCTTGAATATTGGAAGTCCCTGTGATCAAAGACTAGTCGCTTCTCCAATGTTAACACAGTCCCTTGAAAATAACAGCCAATATATAGCACAGTTCTTGTGAAGTACCTCATTTCTGCCAGCAGGGGGCAAGGGTTTAGCATCCAGCCTGAAAGAGTCTCCAAAGTTCCGAAAACTTGCCCAAACGCTTTTTTAGCTCCTGGAGTCTCTTTAATACAGTTTATTACCGCTTAAAACTCCGTCCCCACTGCAAAGGCTTTTCTTTAATCGCTTATTTGTTCTTTCTGGGGGAGAGTCCCCCCCCTCACTTTTAGTAAAAGGGGACTCGCTCATTCTCTGGTGTTCTCGCTTTAACAGACTCACTCTTCAACGTCTGATCACTCGGATCTCGCCAGGTAACGATTTCAATGCTGTACCTCCAAGCGCTTGTCCCAGTGTGCATAGCTTAGTCCCGTTCGGGAACAGAGCGCAGAGACCTTCGGGGCAAAGGGAAGCCTCAATCTGCCGGCAGCGTGCCAGCAGAAAGGTGACCCTCAGCACCCCATGGCAAGGGACCCATGGCAAGGGTCCCAGGGGGGTGCGGACTTTCACACCCCCTCTCATTGTGCTGGTCCGCAGATCACGCCCCAGGAGCTCCCTGGGGATGCGGCCGCCATCAGCCTGCCAAAACCGGAAGTCCTCTGAGTCTTTGTATTTTCTTCCCACACAGTATTTTCTTCCCACACAATCTGATGTTAAACTCTGATAATGAGATGTCGGCATTCGAAGAGAAATCTTGAATCTGATTGGGATATAAAGTAGAGTACACAGGTTAGCTTCTGATTTCACAGAACCTAGGAACTGTATAACATGAAAACAAGGGAGCCAGTGTGGTGTTGTAGTTAGAGTTTCAGACTAGGATCTAGGAGTCCCAGGTTCGAATCATGGAAGCGGGCCGGGTGACCTTGGGCCAGTTACACTCTCTCAGCCTGGCCTGTCTCACAGGGGTGTTGTATGGATAAAGTGGCAGGGAAGACCAATGCTGTAAGTAACTTTGGGTCCCTACTGGGGAGAAAAGTGAGGTCTAGATATCTAAATAGGAGGAGGTGGTGGCGGTTTATACCCTTCCTTTTAAAATCAGCAGGCTTAGACTGGAGTAAGTTTTCTTAGCCCTGCCCTGGATGGCCCAGGCTAGCCGAACCTTGTGTGATCTCAGAAGCTAAGCAGGGTCGGCCCTGGTCAGCATTTGGATGGGAGACCACCAGGAGTGGACCACCAGGTTCTCTAGGCAGAGACAGGTAATAGCAAGCCACCTCTGTTCGTCTCTCGCCTTGAAAAACCTACGGAGTCACCATGAGTTGGCTGCGACTGGTCGGCCCTTTCCACCACCACGAACTTTTCTCAGGCTAGCCTGGTCAGTCTGCCACTCGTCAAAGGCAATAATAACTGATTGGGCAGGAACATTCCCTGGTGTCAGGCTCCTTAGTCAGGTCACACCACACAGGGCTTCATCAGAAGATAACTGTTTATTAGTGGATTCAGTACTAAAGAACACGTGTACAGCTTGTGTCAGGAATGGCCCGTCAGTATCAGGGCCTCTGACTTACAGCGAAATCAAACACCCCCCCTGTGTATGCAAGCCAATGGTTATAGTTCACATGCGTGGGCAAAAGCAAGCGGGCCAAGCGCAAAAGCCGTTAACTCTCCCAGCCGAGTTAATTGCAGCTGGAGACAGCAATGAGATAGCGCACAGAAGCAGGGCAGGGAAGAGGTGAGAACAAGGAGGAGGGCACCCCCTCCACATTCCAGATCTATGACAGGGCCACCTGACACCAGGACAGCAGCAGTAAACCTTTCTTTCCTTCCGTTGCCTCTCAGATCTCCTCCTCTTTCAGTCCCACGGACCCCTTCGGCACGGGACAGAGCCTCCTGCCTCTGCCAGTGCCGGAACGTGTGACGGGGAACCCCGATCCCGCCTTTGAAAAAGCCTCCCAAGTGGATCCGCAGACCGACAGGGGCGTTGTTCGCGGTAAGCGCATGCGGCACTCCTCTGAGAAGAATGCCGGGGTAAGGACTGGCCGGAGAGGGTGGCGGGTCTGACTGCATTCCCTGCATAGCGGAGAGAGGCTTCGGTATCAGCCGAGGGAGCCTCTGCAGGCCAATGGTGGATCTTGGTTTGATGAAAGAAACATTTATTGATCAATTGATTTGATTTGATTTTTATCCCCCCCCCCCGGTGAATCTCAGGGCGGTCACGCAATCTCGGCAGCAATAGTTAAATAATTAAAACAAATAATTTAAAACAGTAATAGAAACAGCAGTCAAGCTCCGTGTTGCTATACTCAGTTTAAGCTGATCACAAAGCCGGCGATTTCAGTCGGGGAGGCCAAAGATGGATTTCGGATGTCTGCCGCCTCGACCGAAAGTCCGGCGGGACAGCTGCGTTTTACAGGCCTGGCAGAATTTGGCTCGCATTCCTGGTGTGCACTTATTTTATTTCCAAGAGGAAAAGGAGTGCTCGTTTTCCTGGTGCAATTTTATTTTATTTTATATTTTCTTTACTAAATGTGTACACTGCCTTATCTGCCCAATCAGGGCCCCCGGGGCTGGTGTGAATATTCGGCTTGATAGGACGGAGGGGACTGGCTGTGGCCCCTCGTACAGGATCCATGCGCTTCATTTTTCTCACTGCTTGGTGCTGAAGGATTCCCGAGGAACAGGGGATACCACAGAAATACTGGCCTCTCTGTGTGTTGTGTGTGTGTGTACACAAAAACACGCCCTAGTGTTGAGGTGGACGAGTGAATCCTGGACAATGAGTCCCCGAGGGCAACAGTTGTATAAATACAATGAGAATGGAATTCTTCTGTGTACCACAGTCTTTGTTTCCCTCCACACGCTCCCAAGTCTATATTCTCACTCCTCCTCAAACTCCCCCACCCAGATGCAGGGGTAATTTCCTGCCGGAGTGCACAGGAGCGGAGCTCCGGCAGTAAAGAGCCCAGGGGGCGGGCACATGCAACAAGCCCCGCCCCCTGCTCCCAGCAGCCCTCAGTCAGAGCAAGAAGCAGCCAGGTAAGTTGCAGAGCTCCCCCGGTCCAAAACAGTCCAGTGGCACCTTTAAGACCAAGTTTTATTCAGGTACAAGCTCTCCCTCCTCTGTGAGGACAGATCTGCACGTCCCCCCCCCCAATAGCTAGCAATCCAAAACAGTCCAGTGGCACTTGAGCAGTGATGTCAGGGGGTGTGGTGTATGCAAATGAGTTATGCTAATTAGTTCCTGCACCTCTTTTTCTACTAAATTACCCTGGCTCAGATGCATCCTATAGATCCATCCCATAAGCTGGATGCCGTTAATAGCATGTAAACTCTACAGGACATGCACACATTGCTGTACACGCCTAGGAGAGGGACTGTCCATGGTGTGGTGCGCCAGTGAGGGAGGCGGGGAAGGGCTTGGGGGCAGTAAAAACCATTGGTGTGGGGGAGGGGTCCTCGAACAGCGCTATGCTAAAATGGCAGCGGCTGTGTTTGCCTGGTTGTGGAGCATTGACACACACAGAGAGAAACAGACGTCCCGAACAAGAGTATTGCAGAATTCTGGGGCTGCAACAAAAAAGGCCCCGCTTCTCACGAAACCAAACTGGCCCTTAACACAGGTTGAAGCCTGAAGCAGGATGTTTGTTGGCCCTCCTTGGGGGAGGTTTATGCGGGTGATGGCATTTCCAAAGATAACCAGTCTGCTCAGAGATTTATAGCTCAAAACACATACCTTTTATTGCTCTTGGAAACAGATATCCAACACAGTTGTTTCCGTACAACAGACCCCTGACCTGTGCTTGGCATTAATTGGGCATGGGCATTCTGAACTAGTCAAAGTGTCTGAATTGTCTTCCACGCTCTTCAATCTGTCCTTTCCCCAAACTTTCCTCCCCCCGCCCTGCAGTTTGGAGGTAAATTAATCACCTTTGGCCATGCCGAGGCCCTTGTACAGCTGGGGGGGCAGCCAATGATGCCACAGCCGGTATTTATCAGCCAAGTCACCACCGAGGCCGAGTTCTTGGCCCGCTCCTGGCAGCTCCAAGAGGCCCTGCAGTCAGGGGGTCTTCTCGACTTTTGCCAAAAGAAGATTGAAGCAGCTCAGGAACTGTCCGAAGAGAACATCTGGAACTTCCTGATGGTAGGACCTCTTTGGCCAAGGTCAGAGGCAGGTTTTGTGTTGGATGGTCTGTGGGTTGCCTTGGTTTGTGGACGTTAACTGATGTGTGTTTTTTAATTTATTTTTTATTGTATATTTTTCGAAACCACAATCCAGATGAAGAAAACGAAATCAAAGATTACAGCATCAGAAGTATAGCATAGATTAATGAGGTGGTAAAAGGTAAAGGTGTCCCTTGCTCGAAAGCCAGTCGAGTCCGATTCTAGGGTTGCGGTGCCCATCTCCGTTTCAAAGCCGAAGAGCCAGCGCTGTCCGAAGACGTTTCCGTGGTCATGTGGCCGGCATGACTAAACACCAAGGTGCATGGAAGGCTGTTACCTTCCCACCGAAGTGGTACCTATTTATCTACTTGCAATTTCTTGCTTTCGAACGGCTAGGTTGGCAGGAGCTGGAACTAGAGACGGGAGCTCACTCCGTCATGCAGCACCTGGGTCTTGAACTGCTGAACTACCAACCTTCCATAGCCTGCAGTTCAGCGTCTTAACCTTGACGGCTTCATAAGGGAATTAGGTAAGCATATGGAGCAGAGGTCCATCAGTGGCTCTTAGCCACAAGGCATAGATAGGGACTCTGGGGCAAGTGATGCTCTGTCATCTTGGTGCTTGGG